TGGCAAGCCTAATTATGAGATTTATTTTTATCTTATTTTTATATATATATATGTATATATACTTCATAATATAAATATGAATGCAAATGAGCTACATATGTATAAAAATCTACAACGGAATTTTATTTTCTGCTACGATATCTCAAGCCATTTACTCCGAAAACTTTATTATTGTGCCATTTTTTCGATTTTTCGCAATTTACTCGAAATTTTGAGGGTGTAGAAGTCAAACGGACCTCAGATTCTGATTCAGCGGGTCGAGAATCATGTCCGTAGGTGGGTCTGGTTAAAAGCACACACCTCTTTTTTTTGTGTGACATACTATGTATATAATAGCTATTATTCTGATCTTTTTGTTTACCTAGAAATCTTATTTCAAGTATAAAAACCGACAAAAATAAATGTATTTAATTCTGTCAAAAGCCGTTTTCTTGATTAAGAAAAATGGTAGGAAAGAAGTCATTTTGGTAGGTTTTTAAACCAGCTCTTGGTAGGAAAGAAAGTTTTTCAGTGGTAACCCTGATACCGCCGCCTAAGAAGTTTCACTTCAAAAATGTGTGATCCACAAACAGTGGGGCCAGACATGCATTTTTAGTTCAAGCGGTTGTAATTTCAATTAAACAACACACATTAACACACGGCGAGAGTTTCTTTATTCACATTCCGAACATTCGGAATACATTTTTCTGTTCACTTATTCATTAGAACGTTGTTCCCGGATAATATGGGGCCAGATAATCTGAACGCATTCTTTTCATTTCGTTTCTAGTCAGAGCTGGGCGATAAGGATAAGGATTACTAAACGATTAGGATTGCAGTAATCCCAAAAAGCTAAAAAAACAAGATTACGATTACAGTAATCCTTCATCGAACGAACTTAGATTACGATTACAGTAATCGCAATTTTAAAAAAGTTAAAATTACGACTACTGTAATCGTATTCCAAGTTCGTTCGAGGAACGATTACTTTAATTGTTATCCTGTATTTTCTGTTATAGGGATTTAGATAAATACATATTGTCTTCATATTATCGTTAAGCGCGCATTTATATTTCGCAAATTTATAGAATTACTTCGTTTAACATTACTCAAAAAATTGTAATTAGAAAAATTGTAAATATAAAATTTTTGTAATCATTCATTGAGCGAACTTAGATTACGATTACAGTAATTGTAATTTTAAAAAAGCTTAAATTACGATTACTGTAATCGTAAGCTAAGATGCCTTCGATGAACGATTACCGAAATCCTAATTTAATAATTTTTGAAATTGCGATTAAAATAATCGTAATCCTACACTGAGGGATAAAATATTAAAATCAAATAGAAACGTAATTGATCTTACTATAAACGTCAACGAAAGTACTGTATATTGGTAAATATTCAATTCGGTGATAGGTAATAAGATCAACGGAAATAAGGTCAATTGACTTTATTTCCCACCCTGGTGCGAAATAAAGTCAATTGACATTATTACCTTTTTAAAAACGAAATAAAATCCATTGACATTATTTCTCTTTCAAACATTAAATTTCTTTAGCTTCGCGGCGGCCCGCGTCAGCGCGCCACAAAGCGCGCGCTGCGCTAGCGCTCGCGCCCCGCGTATCCCACGCACACCACGTCACGCTACGCCGCGGCCCCCGCGGCCCCCCGGCCCCCGGCCCCCGGCCCCCTTCCCCGTCTCCCGCTGTGCTGTAACGTAGGTAGATTTATTTTTTGTATACGTTGAAATAAAATTTTTATATATTTTAAACATCGAGGGCTTATATTCAATAAAATACCCTCTATCTGCAAACTTTTCACAAAGATGAGATTCTGATTAAAAATCCACCTAAGATTTAACGTCATCAGTGATATTAATGCTACCTTATATAACGACAGGTAATAAGTCCCAGATGGTTTCTAAAATCACAAATTAGTTTTTGTGCAAATTGCAGATAGAGGGTATTAATGAATTCAAGCCCTCGATATTTCACATTTTTATATTTGTAAGTTATTAGAAGCAGGGATGCCAACTTGGCTCAAACCGTGCCATTTGTCCCTATTTTACTTCAAATGGCACTTAATTTTTCAATTTGGCACAAAATGCCAAAATGGCACTTTTGTAAAAAAAATAACATTTCAATACATTTTTGTGAAATCCTTTGCGTGCACTTCTTTTTCTCAACTAAAATTTTCTAATTTATAAAGGCTATTCAACTGGTTTATCTTATTTTATCATTGCACTTTTGTTTGGAAAATGTAGCTTTATTTTATTGCTAAATGTGAATGATTAAAAGGAATGACACCTTTTTTGGCACTTTTATTTTTCTATTTGGCACATTTTTACACTTTTTTATCCTCAATATGGCACCTCATAACTAAGGATAGTTGGCAGCCCTGATTGGAAGATTTCTGCTGTGTTTTGGGGCAACAACTTGTCTGCAGTAAAAAAGCATATAATTTGTGTTTCAAAAGTGTGAGAAAACCAATTAATTAACTTATATGATCTCGGTTCCGATATTAAATAATCAATAATTGTTTATACCCGCATTTTGGCACATTGGCTCGTTGAATGTGCCATCTAATAAATAGTGTCGTCGTTCTCCTTAGCTGCTTTTAAATGATGTCGTCACAAATTGCTGGCGGAGACATGAATACAGTGTAAGAAAATTCTTTTTCTATAATTGTTTCCTTATAGAAAGGTTGGTTTCTTTTCCACCTTAGACATTCCGAATTCGTTCAAAATATGCTAATTTAAAACACAGAATTCTTTCAGTGTTCCTCCGGGGTTTTTGGACATGGACTGTTTCTTCAATTTAATAGTGTTCGCTTTATTTTTGTGGAAACGAAACATGTTTTGCAAGTTATGGATCATTTCTACACTCTTTCTTCAAATATTTCTCGTATTCCAGCTGTGCGCAGGCGTTTAGTTTTTCGCATCGTGTTTTTACATATTCGTAATTTAAATTTTTTTAATAAAATCAAATGGTGGTAGTTCATGATTGTGTGTGGATTAATATCACAACACTGAGGATTTGGCAATAACCTTTTTCATCTATTAAAAAGCAACACTTACGGGGCAATGTTTATTGTAAGAACAACATTGTTTTCTATGAATCGACATACTTTAAGCATTGTTGACGCTATTTCCATTTGAATGAGGAAATAGCGTCAATGACTTTATTTCGCTCTTAAAAAGGTAATAATGTCACTTGACTTTATTTCGCACCAGGGTGGGAAATAAAGTCAATTGACCTTATTTCCATTGACCTTATTACCTGTCACCTTCAATTCAATTACGCGCATTTTAAAATGACCACGTTCGTACTGAAAAAGCATCCGTGAAGTGAATAATCAGACAAAAACTAAAAAAAAAATTTAATTGCATGTTGCCTGCAGTGGAATTCGAACCCGACAATCTCCGGATATCAACAACTTGTGGCAAGCATCTTTGCGCACTCAGCTACACCCAGGCATAAAAATTTGCTTTCAAATGTTGAATATCCATCAACACCACAGCACGCGATTTGTACGGATAAACATGTATGTACTATGTATGTATGTGTGTGTTGTCCCCGCTCTCAGAGCAACGCTCTGCATTCTTGGGGTGCGTATGTACACTTACATATACATACTCAGATGTGAACAGTCAAATATTTGACGTACATACTTGCGTAATAAATTTTGTATGAAAATATTATTTTTAAATACGAACATTTTTAAACAATAATAAAATATAAAGTATTCATTTTTACTATGCATTATTTCCCTTAGTGTAGATGCAATCGATTACACATGTAATCCTTATCGCCCAGCTCTGTTTCTAGTACGGATTTCATAGAATATTGCAAGAAAATAATGGCGCTACAGAAACCAAGTAAATTTTTGTAAATTGTTTAGCGAAAAAATGTAATTGAATATTAATAAGCTGATTACTAACAATTTCATTGCCTTCTGTTTTTTTGTAACCATTGTTCCTGATAAACTACATGACTATTCTCTTCTAGATCCGGACTGAATAATAAAGAAACACGCCCACGGTCAATTATTAGAACAAAAATTGTGATCCACAAACAGTGTGGCCAAGCATGCATTTTTACGTCAAGCGGTTGTAATTTCAATTATGCAACACATTATCACACGGCGAGAGTTTATTTATTCACACTTCGAATATTCGGAATACATTTTTCTGTTCACTTATTCATTAGAACGTTGAACGCATTCTTCCCATTTCGTCTCTGGTACAGATTTCATATAATACTTCATGAAAATAATGGCCCTACAGAAACCAAGTAAGTTTTTGCAAATTGTTTAACGAAAAAACTTAATTAAATATTAATAAGCTGAAAACTAATAATTTCATTATCTTCTGTTTCTTTATAACCATTGTTCCTGATAAACTACACGACAATTCTGTTCTAGATCCGGACTGAATAATAAAGAAACACGCCCACGGTCAATTAAAAGAAAAAATGTGTGATCCACAAACAATGTGGCCAGACATGCTTTCTTAGTTCAAGCGGTTGCAATTTCAATTATAAAATTATTTGTACAATTTTGAATATGACTTTATTACACTTCTCGATTCGAAATAATGTCATATGGTTTTATATTCAAAAGAAAAATGAAATAAGACCATATGGCCTTATTGCGTATGGTGTTATTGCGCCCCACCAAAATAGGCCAATGTTTACCGTAGTTTATACGACAGAAAACGAAGTGATCACTCGTAAGAGCCTGTCGGTAAATTTGGGGTTTTTGCTCTGAAATCGCTTAATAATTCTCGTGCAATAAGCGTTTCTGTTATTGTTGTAACGGTGGGTCCAGGAAATGTGATGTTTCGTCCGGGTCGAACCGGAGGGAGGGGTGTGGGGTGTTAGTTGAGTTGGATTGATTGTTGTTGTTGTAGACGACAACGATTGAGGGACTATCCGATCTAGGTCGGGATAAGTACCGCTACTCTCTCTTTTAATATATGGCTTATAATTATTCATCAACCTTATAAAACGGAGGCTATAATTCCAACTTACCTGTGTCAGGGAAATTGTACTTGTGTAACCGCATCTTTCTTCCGGACACAACGTTTGTGATAACATGTTCTTGTGGCGTGTGCTGGTAAATTCGATCAGTCCATTCACCAACCGTCACTATTTCACGCCCCTCCTGATATATAGCACCATCACGAGTCTGTAATAATTTAATTTTAATAAATTATATCACAAAACATTCCCTTTGGAGCATTGGGGATAACTACTATTTTTAACTAACTTCTTGAAATCAACAACATCAAAAAGGCCCTTAATATTACGAGTCAAAAGGTGAGCATTTTTTTTGAAAAAATTGCCGCTAAATTTTATCACTATAGGTCTCCAAAGACAAGCATTCGATTAGTCAAATTAATTAAATATCTACCTATATACATATGTATGTAGGAACAACTACATTGTATATTTGAAGTGGAGCGAGGGGCTATGATTTATGCACAATTCCTTTGTGGAAGATTTTTGCTGTATGTGCATTCGTATTATTTATTTAAGATTTCAAACACAACAACCATAAGTTTTACTTACAGTGTTTGACAATAAGAAATATTAGCATAGTAAGTATAAATACAAATAATATTATGAAGATAGTTAGGAAGGGATGATAAGATTGCAAGGGTGATAACTATATGAAATAAGATATAGAAATATGACAGATTTTGAAATTTATCTAGCAAAGTAACGCAACAGTTCCCTTTTGAAATGCAATATGCCCTTAATACTTCTGATCCCCACAGGTAAAATGTTCCAGAGACGGACTGTGAAAACAAAAAATTTACGCTCAGATATGCGTGAGCTGAATTTCATGTGCAGTATTTGTGTGGAGCGCACTGATCGTGTAAATTTTAATCGTTCACTAAGAATTATGGGTTCCTTATTTACCAAACTCCTCTGTAGGAGTGTTAAGCACCTAAACTTTAACAAATCATCTAATGAAATAGTACATACCTTCAAAGCATATTCGGGAATGTGTTCGTAACGTTTGATGTCGTAAATATAACGTGCAATATTATTGTACACAACATTAAGTTTTTTTTTACAAACACTGTCACAATTTGCATAAAGTTCGCAACCGTAGAGCAAGGTTGGAATCAAATAAGACTTTGCTAATAACAATATAATTTTAACAGGTGTGAAGTGTTGAGTTGTCCATAGTACTCTTAACATTCCATATACTTTGCCTATTGTTGTAAAAATATGATTGTTCCACGTCAGTGTTCTATTGAATATCACACCAAGGTTTTTGACGGTATCAACAAATGTAATCACAGATTTGTTTAGAGTTACTTTGGGGTAGTGGTCAAGGTCAAAAGTTTTCTTGTATATAGCAATGAACTGCGATTTTCTGGGGTTCAAGACTAATCCATTATCATTAGCCCATTCATTTACGAGACACAAATCAGCGTTCAGATTACATATGCAGTTTTCAGTAGCGGCGAATGGACTACTCAGATAGATTTGAACATCATCTGCATATATATGTACGTTGCCGTGTTTAAGAACATTGGGTAGGTCGTTGATATATAAAACGAAAAATAAAGGGCCAAGTATAGACCCTTGCGGAGTACCTTTAGTTACAGGCAGTAGGTTAGACATGGAACTATCCACACTTACCACCTGGGATCTCTCAAGGAGGTATGATTTAATTAGATCGACAGCTGGGCTATAATAATATCCCAACGGTTTTTACCCTCCATTCCCGCCCATCCGCACGAGGGGCGCAGTCCGCATGACGTACGGAACCAATATTTTAAACCAATAGTTTAATTTGTGCCGAGTCACGATAGGCAGGAGTTTGTTAAGTGTCGAGATCTAAAACTGTTCAGCTACAGAACTCATCAGCTGATTTTATGTATTTATGTCAATAATTCACTTATTGAGAGAGGAGAGTATCGCTTTCTTAATGCTGAAAAGCGGATCTGATATATCAAACGTGCTGGAATGAGAGTTAAAATCCTGGCATAAGCAACGGAGTGGGTCGTGCAATTCAAAATTGGTTTTACAAGCTTTCAGAAATATGGGACAAAAGTGTCTTGATACGCGTGATACGGGGGTTTCCTTCCGCCATGAAGTATCAAAATACCGTCTCTGGTGATAATCAAACAATTTCTAACATGTTCGCTCAGTTTTTTAAATCCAATTATTCCACTAACTCCCAAACATACTTTGACTATCCTTTTAAACTAAGTCCAATTAACTCAATACATAACCCTATAATATCTCCCGGTGATGTTTTAGTTTACCTGGAGTCCTTAAAGCAGTCTTTTAGTTATGGTCCTGACCAGATCCCCACTTGTTTTCTTAGAAATTGTGCTGATTATCTCTATGAGCCGTTAACAGCCTTATTTAATTTGTCTCTTAAAGAGGGCGTTTTTCCAACTGTATGGAAGGAATCGTTCATAACCCCCTTACATAAAAGCGGTAGCAGGTCTTCAGTGGAGAACTACCGGGGCATAGCTAAGCTTTCTGCAATTCCTAAATTATTTGAAGCAATTATAACAAATCGGTTGACGCATTCTATCACTTCAAGCTTTTCATACAGTCAACATGGATTTTGTAAGGGCAAATCAACTTCTACAAATTTACTTGAATTAACATCCTATATCTCAAAAGCATTTATTGAGAGCAAAACTGTTGATGTTATATATACTGATTTCAGTAAAGCATTTGACAAAGTGTGCCACTCGTTGCTCATCTAT